TGAATGCGCGTGCTCTCCACCAGCTGGACAATGCGCTGGTTCCCATTCCGGAACTCTTCGCACAGGAACTCCGACAGCTGCAGCAGCAACTCACGGCCTAGCACCTCATTGCCATGCATGTTCCCCACATACTTGACTTCTGGTTCCACTGCAAGCATGAGAAAAACATGCAGGAAGATAAAAAATGGGGAAAGCTCACAAGTGCCAAAGAGAATCTCCGGCTTTCATCGGGTCTTTTCCAATAATAATATGAACAAACTGCAATTACAAATACTACAAAAATTCATGCCAGGGATAATAATGACTACCATTTATTGAACCCCTGCTGTGTACTAGGCATTTATGCTCACTATTGCTAATCTTCACAGAAAACTGATAAAGTGAGCATTATTAGCCTTAGGATGAAGGTACTGGGAAGAGATGAGGTTAAGTAACTGGTCGAGGTCACCTAGTTAATTAACATGATGGAGGCCAAAGCCAGAGAGCATTTACAGCAGCTCCCTGCTTTGCAGAGACAAATCTTTTCAGGATAAGGGTGGTGTTTTTTTCCCAAGTCCTGCTCACATAAAGTTCTCTAGGTTATAGCATAACAGTTTCTAATCGACCTAATTGAAACTTAATTTTCCTGGTACTTAGGGAACTAATATCTCCCTTCAATACCTGAGAATGTTGTATTTTGAGGCACAGAGTAGGAAGGATTCTACGTATATCTCATTCCTTAATCCTCTCTTTGGCTATGTTAACTGTTCAACTGAAGAGCTCAGGTCATGAAAAGTGCCTCTAGAACCACTTAAAGAAAATCATTCTTGCCTCCATTTAAAAGGAAGGAGAGAAGCTCTGGCCAAAGGATTTCCCTTCCACCCTCCATGATTCCCCTTCCACCCACCTTCCTGCCTCCATGACTTTTCTGATTCTGGACCTCTTCCTCTCTGTGTTTCCAAATCCTCCTCAACATCCTTGTAGGCTCCGTGAAGCCATCTTGGTTCTCCCTCTGCTGGGAGTGAACTGGCTGTTGAACTGCCCTTTTTATGGTACTTACCACTTTCTACTCTGAGCTTTACCTAGTTTTGCACATACTCGGTTTTCTTTACTGGACCTGGCCTTTGCAACGTATACAATTTTTAATTTTCTTTCAGAAATGATGCGTTGTTATTTATCTTAATATACTTACAGCAGTTTTCCCCAAGGGAATGTCTATAACCCACAAAAACCTTATAGGGTATTTTCCATAATGTATAGTTTTTAATCTTAGTGCATTTCTTTAATCATAGATTATGTCTTCCTTATTTTTCTTGATATCAAAATATCCCTTCTTTTAGGAAAGGATGGCAGGTAGTATTCTTCCACATCTTGTTCAGTAAAATAAAATTTGGAATATCTATTTTAGTCCCTTCTAATCTCTCTTATTCATAAAAAAAATGGTTTTAACTTCTGTGAAATCTTAAAGTTGGCAACTACTGCCCTATAGAAAATAGCGTAACGCCTTGCACTTGATAGGTGGTCAATGCCAAATTCTTCTGTCTCAGTATAAGCAGAATCCAACCACTTCTCATTGTAACCACTGC